TATATATGACCCGTAAGATCTGACGTTGTTGTTTGAATACCAGGGTTCTAACGTAAAGACGAACATCGCCCTAGCATTTGAAGTCGTTTACTTCATTGTGTTTTATCACTGTATAGGTGGAATGGATCGCAAGATATAAAACCTTCCTACGAATCCCCAGTGCTTCTCCTTGAATTGAAAGGGACTACATGAGATTTGATTGGCTTAGGTTCGTGGGAACCGTGTGGGCTGTGATTGGCCGCGAGGCACGTGACCGTGAAGTTTACTGGTCAAACATAGTCTACAATCGGTGATATGGTTTGAATGTGTTCGAGTGATTCCGACAAAACGGTGGGAGTTATAATTTTTTTACGTTATAAATTTTTTTACGTGACATCACCCTGGAGACTATCACACGCTCCATTCCTCTGAAATTCAAAGTGGAATTTTGGCATCTACATAGCCACAATGGCTTGGAGTATTAGATGGCGGTTTGAAAACTGTTTGACTTTGTGATACATGGTCTGTTGGGACAATACGGCTATTATTTCAGTGTGCAAAATCTGATATGATGACCACTTTCATAATCAAACTCAATGATTCATGACGAACTTCGGTACAAAGTACGACGCCAGAAGCTAGTCCTGTAGTGTTCTCTGAAGTATTGCATACATGACTATTCAAATACTGTTAAGGAGAATGAAGACAGTAAGATTCAAACAACCTAGTGGGGAGTCTCTGAGGTATGCAGTTGACATCATTTTCTTACTGTAGCAAAGGAGTCCACCACATAATTAGTGGTGCAGTTGAGCAAACCTCCCGTAAAAATCCAAACACTGAGTGCCCCCCGATCTCCATGCTGTTTCAGGCAAAGCCCTCTGGCTTGGGTTAGACATAGTACAGACTGTGGCACCATATTTGGTCTGGCCAGTATCCCGGCGTTTATCCCGAGTATATGCGGGATTGTTTCTTTATTAGACTACCCAAGAAAATCGTTTGCCAAGTGAACTACCGGTGAAAAAAGGTCTTTTTGCTGGGTTATTAGCAATGCCAACCGGGAGAATGAAGACAGTAAGATTCAAACAACCTAGTGGGGAGTCTCTGAGGTATGCAGTTGACATCATTTTCTTACTGTAGCAAAGGAGTCCACCACATAATTAGTGGTGCAGTTGAGCAAACCTCCCGTAAAAATCCAAACACTGAGTGCCCCCCGATCTCCATGCTGTTTCAGGCAAAGCCCTCTGGCTTGGGTTAGACATAGTACAGACTGTGGCACCATATTTGGTCTGGCCAGTATCCCGGCGTTTATCCCGAGTATATGCGGGATTGTTTCTTTATTAGACTACCCAAGAAAATCGTTTGCCAAGTGAACTACCGGTGAAAAAAGGTCTTTTTGCTGGGTTATTAGCAAATGCCAACCGACCAGGTACGGACTACTGGACAGGGAAGTAAAACTCTCATTTGCATCTCATTTAAAAGACTGGACATCCATCTTCTCCTGAACGTGACTTCTTGAACTTTTCTGGATATTCATTGACTCCAATCATGCATTGCTCAAATCCAAGCAAATGCTAAAAATGGACTCTATAGATTTCGCAAAAGATCTCCCTTTTCAAGAAACGCAGAGCGAATTTACAAGAACGAAACATAC